AGGCGTGGTAGAGGCTGGGGTAGGTGGCGCTGTAGTTCGGCCAGGTCTGGTGGAGGCTGGGGTAGGGGGCGCTGTAGTTCGGCCAGGCGTAGTTGAGGCTGGGGTAGGTGGCGCTGTAGTTCGGCCAGGTCTGGTGGAGGCTGGAGTAGGGGGCGCTGTAGTTCGACCAGGCGTAGTTGAGGCTGGGGTAGGTGGCGCTGTAGTTCGGCCAGGCCTTGTGGACGCTGGAGTAGGGGGCGCTGTAGTTCGACCAGGGGTAGGTGAGGCTGGGGTAGGTGGCGCTGTAGTTCGGCCAGGCCTGGTAGAGGCTGGGGTAGGGGGCGCTGTAGTTCGGCCAGGCCTGGTGGAGGCTGGGGTAGGGGGCGCTGTAGTTCGGCCAGGCCTGGTGGAGGCTGGGGTAGGTGGCGTTGTGGTTCGAGGCGTGGTAGACGGGGTCTCCTTGGTGATGAATATGATTGTCGTACTAGGTGTCGAAGAGCTGGGCTTAGGCGTTGTTGTGTCGTTAGGCATTATGCGGTTGCCCTCGGGTGAGATCGTTGTCGTCGTCGTCGGCGCTGGTGTTGTGCTTGCTTCTGTCGTCGTCGTCCGTGGCCGACGCGTCCTTCGTGTCCGCGGTGCTTCCGTCGTCGTCGTCGTCGGCGGTTCTTTTGGTAGACAACCAAGTTCCACAAAGTCTACATCCATTATCGACGTACCTATTAAAGTGAGTTACACATCAGTGACTATTATTATTTCATTGCGGGCATTATCAGTGCGAAGTGCCAGATTTAAATGTGTGGCTAAGCCGCGATGTTATCACAGCCGACATGCATCACGCATTAGCATCACACAGGTACCGCACAGCGCATTTCTCTCACGCGCCCCTTATTCCTCTCTAACTCCTACGTCTTCTAATACATTTAAACTCGTTCCAGATATAAATGTTTATATACTTATGCATATAAATATATTTTGCGTCTATACATATATACGCGTGAAAACGGTGTACTGGTGCAGAAGCGAAACGAAATGAAAACATTGCTATGTATGTGACGGACTTACCCTCGAGTTGTGAGGGGCTGGTGCAAGTGGCTTTGTATACGTCATCTCTAAGCAACTCGCATCTCTCCCATCGGTCATTACCTGCGTGATGAAAAGCACGATTGAGATCAAAGCACAACTGAATAAATTACATATATTACGTAAAAGTAATACCAACTCTTATGTGTCTTCATTGAATGAACGCTCGTTAAATTATCTCTCTGTGCCGTCGCCCTTCTGTATTTCTGAGTTTATATATAT